AAAAACAAGATAAACAAAAAGTGTAATTGTTACTCTAATCACCATTAAGAGGAATGATGATGTTTGACAAACAAATAACGTAAACTGTTTTTGTGTTTGACAAAAGCTCTCTCTTTTTTCTCCACCTCTTCCGGGTAAAGTTGAGTTGAGGGAGCCACGCCATGTGAGTGCCAATCAACAACTTGTGGAATCAATGCATTCTCTCAATTGAGTTGTAACTATCCCCGCCCTCTGTCTACAACCATGCTGTGGTTTCCAGAGCCAAAAAAGTCACCGATTCCTTTGTAGCTTTAAATACCATGGATGGAGAAAAATGCTTCTATCTCAAATCAAAGGTGTGGTTACAGAAACTTACAGCAAAAATGTATAGTCGGATTTACTATATTTTACAGTGAAATGTGTAGTTAGATGGAGTGCATATTTACCTGGCATTGCCTCCACCATGAAAATAATTAAAATGAACAAGGGGAAAATGCAATAATCTGGGGGAATTGTGTTATTAAAAGAAAAAAGTAATACAATCCACAACCAGTGTACATGCCTATGAAGATCCTCTTTCCCATTGATTTTTGTAAGATCTCTCTTAAACTCGGAACCTTCAAGCTTTATATTTGGCAGGTCAAGATTGAAAATGCCCCTTTAGAAATGTGTTGCACGATTATTTCAAGTGAACCACAATGTACCATATAGACAATGGCTATTAGATATTCCGGAAACGCCCATAGTTCAAAGTTTGGATGAGGGTTTTACTGATCCAAGCATTTGACGGTAGTCGTATACCCCAATACCTCGTTTTCTTCCAAGACGACCTGCATCAACATACTGTACAAGGATGGGGCAGGGAGCATATTTATTGTCCCCAAGGCCAGCATGAAGAACTTTCAGAATGGACACACAGACATCCAATCCAATAAAATCTGCAAGCTCTAGAGGACCCATTGGATGATTTGTTCCCAGTTTCATTCCTGCATCAATGTCTTCCTTTGTTGCCACACCTGTGTAAAGTGCAAAAAATGCCTCATTAATCATTGGCATTAAGATCCTGTTTACAACAAAGCCTGCAAAATCCCTCGAGCATATTACTGTCTTGCCAAACCTGCCAATTCAACAGTCCACAGTTAAAAAGATGGCAGCGAATTTATTTGGCTATACGAGTAGGAAATGTAACTTAATCAGAAATGTGCAGGGTAAATTGCCAAGGGGAACAAAAGGAAATTTTTCCTTTTTCATGGAATTCAAGGTATCCAAGTCAACAACCTTTCTGCCAAGGCTTTTGTGGCATCAAATGTCTTATCTGATGTGTCTGCTCCTCGCACAATCTCAACAAGTTTCATTATAGGAGGAGGATTCATAAAATGCATGCCGATCACCTGGAGATTCACAATATTGATTTTGACACAATCAGATTTCTAACGTCACATATTTTCATAGATAGTTAATCAGCACAAGATTTGTTTATTTTTAAACAGTAAAAAAAATATTTTATATATTGTTCTCAGTTCTAACAGTATCATCATAAGCATAATCTCAGGATAAAAAGATGAAGCATATTCCGAGCATAACCTGGTGTGGTCTGCTAGTTGCTGACGCAAGGCGAGTAACGGAGATGGAACTTGTATTTGATGCCAGTATGGCCGAACTTTTTGTGATCTTATCTAGCTCAAGAAATAACTTTTTCTTCACATCTTCAGATTCCACAATAGCTTCGATAATTATATCTGCCGAAGAAAGCTTTTCCAAGTTTGAGGTAAACCATAGACGTTCCAAAGCATCTTTACCTACAGCCTGTTAAAAAGAAATGGAATGATTTGTTAAACTTCCCACCCTTACAGGGAAACAAGCTCTCGTTTATATAATGCACATATGACAGATCTCAAATCACAGAGGAAACGTTTCTTTCCTTTTTTTCCAAATTTCTTTTTCGTTAGTGGTTTTTTACTCTGAATTCAGGTATGCCAAGAGCTCACCATTGTAGCTTAACTGCAAAACTATTCAGTTAGTGCCATCCCTGTCTCAAAGATAAATGCTACGATATCCCTTTTAAGCAGGATTTAGTGAAGCGTTAAAATTGAATACAGTTTACTTCCTAGGAAAAACCGTTTTCACAGCAAAGCCTTCACATGCAATTCCTCCTCAGGATTCCATTCCGCTTGAAATTGTTCTTTATTTAAATCTAGATATACACACACACATTTTTTTTCAAAAAGTACTCACCACGGTTCCAATTCCCGATACCATCATAGAACACAAACACAAAGATAGAACCAGATGAGTTGGCTGAAGCCAACATTTTAGGTGTCTAACTCTATCCAGTTAGGTACCCTTTATAATTCAAGAATATAACAGCATTAATCAACTGATGCTTGAGAGTAGCCCATGAGAACAATTAGTGAAGAGTTATCAGGACAAAAGTAGCACCGACAAGTTCTTGTGAACTGAATCCCAAAGCTCTCTCTCATCTGTGTGATCTGTGCATGCAAGCCCCAATTTTGTGGGTGTGCAGGAGTGTGAACATGTGTACGGTTTCCTTTCATTCTATACATGTGATCAAAGTAGCACTGATTGTAACTACATAGTTCTTCAACAATAACTAAATAAGGCTGTCATAAAACAAAAGCTTAGGAACAGCTTGAATTCCACTGCTAATAAGCTAATTCAGTATTCTCCAAATTTACATATAAAAAA